AAAAAACAACTAACTATTTTGTTCCTGAAATTTGCTCCAGATAGTTAATAAATGTTGATTAATGTTTAAGACCTGTGAGGGAAATAAGGTCAGCTAAATGTATATCAAATCCTATGTATACTATGAAATGCTAACTATCCATATTTATTTCTAACCCTTTTGTGCCATGCACCCTGCTACCATTTTGTTTTTCTGTAGCTGTAGTGGAGTATATGCACAATGACCCCTGATGAAGATGGGTGGCGTGCGTCAACACTGAACCCCCTTTAGCACGTAAATCCAAGAGCAATGCTATAGGGAGTCTGATCAGCAGATAAACAATATAATTGGTCAGGATACCTTGGTGAAAAAAAACATTTAAATATTGTGTGTGCTCTGATTATGGATTTGAGTTTCTAATAGGCCTTTTTTAATTCATTTCAATGGTCCTCATGTATAGTTATGGTTCACCAGTGCAAGCATGGATTACAGTGCTGTGTTTATGACGTAACAGTGATGTTGAGCGTTCGATTGTTCCATTTCCTCCTAAATGTGTGTAGGCCTGGTAGTGTTGGTGTGAGGGATGCCAAGTTTCCTTTTAATAGATCCCAACCTTTGCTTTGAAAGTGACATATCCAAGTTTCTGTCCTAATTTATGGTAACCTAATGAATCATTTGCAGACACTCTGGTCCTCAGTCATTAATCCGTATTAACGTCTATGGTCTGATTATTAGGGTTGGCAACAGTCCCTTGAAAAAACTGAATTGTTCTGTATTTAGAAATAGAAGTACCTGTCCCGTTTTCAGTGGAAAAGGAACACACTTTTTCCTTTATTACTGCGAGAGTAAAAAATAGTCAGTAAAAAGCTAATGGAAAATGCTCTGTCCTGCTTTGTGACCAATGAGCTGACAAAATATATGCAACTATCCAGAATACCATCATCCCATTGGTCGAGCCAAGTGTTGCTCATGGAGAAGATAGCAGGAGACAACAGAGCAGTGTGGGGGACGAACTGAGTAATGTATGTGCTAAAGAATGTGTAACTGCAAACAGTCTTCTGGAGCACCTCACTCAGGAAAAGCAATCCTAGCAGTCCAAAGGAAAAGCAGAGAGGTGGATGGAGGTTCTTCAGGCAGCCGACCTTCCCAACATCCAAGCTGCTGTGCCCTTTGTCCTCAGCATCCCTTCTTCCACTGGTTTTGTGGGATTTTCTTTTTAATGAAGAACAAATGGACTAATGTGCGGAAATTTTTTTCCACTGAATTAATTTAAGTTGAGCTTATTGTAAGTTTGCAGGAACTCAGAGGAAACACAATTGGAAATAGTAGGCTATCACCATATAATGTGGCATTAAGCTAATGGTTGTTGTTTTTTTTCTGTCTACATTCACTGCATTTAAGGCACAAATATATTTACAAGTTTGCTGTTGCACCAAAAATGTGCACCATCTATTTATTGTTTTATATTCATTTTCAGTTTGAAGTTAAGCAGGACAGGCTTATGTTTAAGATACTTATTTTATTCAGCAAAGTTTGTTATTTTGTATTAAAGTGAATTGCTGGATAATTTGTTTTCCATGTGTTCCATATGTCACTCACAAATATCCATCTAATTCAATACAGATGGTCTGCAGCACTTGTTTCCAAGTAGATTCTTAACCAGATAATTTATTGCTCCTTACTCTGAATCTTGGAAGATCAGTATCTGTGTTTGTGTGTTTATGCAGTCAAAGCATAAATTTAAAGTTCAAACTCACTCTTCAAAGAGTCGATAAGTTTCTACCCGCTCTGACTGAAGCTGGTAAAACCTCTGGATCAGAGCCATTAAGTCTGCTGGTACCTGATGGATACACAAAGTTAACAACAAAATACAACAAAGCAGGTGTTCTGGTGGGGAAAAGACATCTGTTAACAACCAACATAGAAAGCAACGGCAAAAATAGTTGAAAAATGAATGGCTTAAAACAAATCTAAAAATATTTTTCAAAATTTTCTAATTAGGGGCTAACCAAAGGTAGAAGAATATTAGCTTAATATTAGCTTAGCTAGCTTTAAATGGTTAACGAATTTGTAAGCCTCTTACCATGTCGTTCTATAGTAAGACACCGTCAACCTGATCTAACTTTTTAATAATAATAACATGTCTACACGAACAAACGCAGCAAGTTTATTTTATCTTCTGTTTTGTGAATCAGCACGATATGTTCTGAGTGACCCGGAAGTTTTTATAGAGACGGATGTAAACAATTGACCTTCAAAATAAAAGCATGGAGCTATTTCCCCCCTCGTTATTTAGTCAAACGTTGAAGAAATAAAAGTTATTAAGTTTAATCAGATCCCAGTGTTGTTTAAAGTATGTTACATAATTTAAAAATCTTAAAATACTATTTCTCTTTATACTTTTAAATGGAAGTGAAACATAATTTGTAACAAAAACAGAAGCATTTTTTTTTTCTTAATAAAAAATGACATAGTACAATTTTAGGGGGAAATGTATATGTATTGTGAATCATGATGGAAAAAAGATGAGCCTAATAAAAAAATATACATGGTGTACAATTCCAAAATGGCTGCAGGTTTAATATACGAGATGCACCAAACACTTACAAAACAAAGGTACTACGGCATACCCCACAAACCAAGAAAAGATATAGGAAGAAAAAAATATATATATGCATTGCTTGAAAAGTCTAAGTTGTGCAATTACGGTGGAACTGCAAATCATCAGTTCAAAGAATTGGCTTTAAATATAAAGGATTGCAAAGGCATTGAAGACCCAATGAGTCCCCCTGACAGGAAGAAACAAATCACAGCAGCTCATGGCTGCAATGAACTGGAAACTGCTGGAACCCCAGTGACACTGCACACTGTGATGCTAGATTTGAAGGTGTGCTAAAAATGATAGCAGTTGTTTTCAAAAGTGAGTAAAACCCCAAACTCTTTCCATATGTAAATGCATTAGAAGTAACACAAATTCCACTTCAAATGAAGATATGGGGAAAACCTGTTCTACTTATCCATCTACAGAAAGTCAGGAAAATTAATATCAAGCTTTAAGAAGAAAGAAAATAGCATATCAGCATGTTCCTTTATAAATCTAAACATGATGGCCTACTTTAAAAACTGAAAATGATAACTGCTTTACAGCAGTGCTGCATGGAGTCTTTACCAATGCCTGAAACCTGTGATGAAACAGTTAAGCTCAAAGAAATTCGACTTATTTTCACATATCCTCTTGATTTCCTTTGTTTTTCCCCACAAAAAAAGCCAAGCTTGTAGCTGGCGTGAAAGTTAGTGTCTTCAACAGTTGATAAAATGTTCAAGTATTTCTTATTTTAATGTTAAGGATTTGCAGTGTAACATCTTAAGACCATGCTGTTCTGTCAACAATGGGATTTTGGAGGCAGATGAGAGGCAGATGAGACAGAGCCACGTTACCAAAATGGAAAGAAAGGAATCTTATAGGTTTAACACATAAAACACTTTCTTTATTATTATTGTTTTATTAGAAAATGCTCAACGTTGGTATAGTTTCCTATAGTTTCACTAGGGCCATGCATAGTGGTGGTAGAATCATGATACACGAAAAATGATTACAGGAAAGACTAACAGGGTGCAACTTTAGCCAGATATTAGTGGATTCTTTTTTAAATATTTATTTCAAATTCAATATTTAAATATTTATTTAACAAACTAAATATTTAATTTGCAAACTCAATATTTATTTAAAAAAACAAAATATTGAATTTGCAAACTAAATATTTAACTCCAAACTAAATATTTATTTAACAAACTAAATTTTTAGTTTGGAGCTAAATATTTATATAACAAACTAAATATTTCATTTGCAAACTAAATATTTTGCTTCAAAATTCATATTTATTTAACAAACAAAATATTTAATTTGCAGACTAAATATTTAGCTCCAAACTAATGTTTATTTAACATTTTTATAAATGAATGAATGACACTGTAAAAAATGACTTGGACAAAAAAAAAAAAAAAAAAGTATTTTTCTCTTTAAACACGCTAAATAACGATAAATATTTCTCCTAATTTGTGACTGCTTAACTTTAAAGTAATTGGTTTATTTATTTGACAGGGACAGTGTACATTAATAAGCATTCCTGCAAATGCACCAGTATTAGCCAAAAGGCAATTTTTCATCTGTTGTCCCTGGACAGATCTTAAAATTGTCTAACTAAAAAAAAAAAAGAAAAAAACATAAAAAAAAAAAATAGTAAGCATTTTACAATGAAAAATACAAATATAAAAAGAAATAAAAAAAGCTATAACTCTTCAAAACTGGATTAAATATACAGAATACATGTTTGCTGGACTACATATTTTGGGTTAATAAAATAGAATAAAACATTCAAATAAAAATAATTAAACTATATACATGTATATATACACATACATATACATATAAACAAAAACACATACATATATACATACACACATCAGAAACACAAGTGGCAGCATGGCTTGTTAATGATAGACATTCAACTAATGCTGACATGACTGATGTGTTATGAGCCAGTTTTGAGATGATCTTTGAAAAGAGTGTAAGTTGTAAGTTCTCTGATGTTCTGAGGGACAGAGTTCAATTCCTGAGATGCTGTGACTGCAAAGGCTCTTTGACTAAAAGCACTTTTACGCAGAGGAACAACACAGTCTCCTCTAGCCGACCCTCGTGTTTACAAACTGACTGAGTGGAGAAGATGACATACCATGGATTATTTTGTAAAATGGACAGAAGTTTGAATACTTGATGACATTTCCCAGCTTAAAAGCTTGTGTTTTAGTAAAATGGCACAATGGTGATATTTTTATTGTCTGTTTGTAAAGAGATTCTAAAGGTTTTAGTGTTGTTTTATTTGCCTGTGACCATGTTGTAAGACGGTAGGTGATCTGGTACCGAACCATACTGTACATGAACATTTTAGCTACGTGGAGTGACAAGTTTGATCTTACGAAACGGACATTTGTAATATTGAATTTGACTCTATTGCACACCTTTTTGATCTGGGATTTCAAAGTCAGTTTAGAGTCTATTAGGATGCCTAGGTATTTGAATTCTGACACAACTTTTTCCCCCCTGTCACATAAATATCTTTGACATGATTTGCATTGTTGGATTTAGAAAAGTGCATTGAAACTGTTTTATTTACATGAAGTTTTGAGCAGGATTGATTCAGCCACACAGCACTGAATCACAGCACCCCATATGGAACCCACAGGGCACCGCCTAGATTGGTGTAGTCTTCGCCTCATCCACTGGGGGCTTGAGTTTTATTATTGCAGGATTAGAAAGCATTATTCCAATATGGAGGAACCAGGTCGCAGGTCTACTACAGTGTAGACTCCTACGCCTCGAGTCTTCCCCTGCAGTTCATTGGTCCAGGCAGCAGGTTCAGCACCACGCAGGGTGAACAGCGCCTCTCAGCCCTTCCATCGGTCCAGGATGCAGGGGAAGCTGCTCAGCACCATCACACCGGGTTCCTTCCGTTTTTACTCTGCATGACATCTTTTTATCCATCCATAGGAAGCCTTTACACAGGAAGCAGATTCGTTTTATCATCTTGTATCGCGGATGTTCGGGTGCTTCACAGATAACGTTCATTTCGCCTGGTCTGCTTTGCTTCGGGTCGAAAGGCATGACGGAATCCACTGACACCATCGCTCGGGTTCTGTCCAGCTGCTTCATCTTCTCATGCCCGAAGCCGCAGTCGCCAACACAGCTGCTGCCGCTCGATCACCGGGTCTCTCAGCCGGCGCCCAGCTTCCAGTCGCTCCCCAAAGCCCTCTTATGACATGACAGCTCCGGGCAGGAGGACCAGGATCAAATGTTGCGGACTGGGGTTGATGAAGCAAATCCTCAAGGAAAGGGTACAGAGACTAAGAGTTATTCTCTAAAAGTGTTCAACCCTTCTGATTTGGAGCCTCCAGGAGTCAGAAAGTCAATGTAAACCTTATTCTAATACCTCCAGCGTGGTGACACACACCTCTGCCTCCCAGTCTCATCTGATGTACGGCCTCATAGTGTTGGTACTGGTCGAGTCCCAGCAAGCTGCGCGCTTCCCCGGGCCTGTGAGGTTCTCCTTCTCCTGCACAGTCATGGGCTGCATTCAGAGCATAGCCTGCAACAAGTCGCGAATCAAACGAGAGAACATCTTGGTGCACGACCTGTCAGCCACCATAGACCACTGTCCGACAGTCATTGAAGAAAACTCCCCCATTGTGCTGCGATATAAGACGCCCTACTTTAAAGCCGCTGCGCGGATTGTCATGCCTCCTATTCCGCGCAACGAGACTTGGGTAGTAGGCTGGATCCAGGCGTGCACTCAGATGGAGTTTTACAACACCTACGGAGACATCGGCATGTGAGTTACCAGCCCTGACACAACAGTCCCCATCACATGCAGACAGAGTCATTTATTTAGGGGAAGCTCCACCAGCATGCTGATGCCGGTGCGGTTTGGAGAGTTGGAGCATTTGTGCGCACAGTAGGTTCACTGTGCTTGTCAGCCTTCTTCATTCAGACGCCCACCGACAGATTTTGTTCCTGTGACTCTGGCACGTAAATAGAAAAGCTGCTATTAGATAAAACAACATTTGCTGCTCGCTCTCTGCTACTCAAACTGTGCCCACGGGGACATGCCGTCGCCCACAACACGCACAAACACGCGTTATCAGGGAAGGCATATGTGAGGGGGTGTTTAATCCTGCTGGGTTCAGGTCCAAGGTGGGTGTACTGTACAAACTGGGGAGAGGAGAGGGCTTCTTGATCAGAACAGCAACATCAGATGACCAAACTGAAAGCAGAGAGGTGATGATGCAGTGATAGGTTTCACTGCTACATTTATTGCCACCTTTGGTAAAGATGTATAAAGTGAATTAAAACTCATATTACACAACATTGGCCTAATATTGATCTAATGGACTGAAGAGAGAAATGCATTTCTAGGGTTTCACAATTATTAACCCCTTTTCCAGTCTCTTTACAATACATGCAGGTGAAACATTCATTCATTATATGCTCATTTAATGCAAAATGATCCAGCACTTTCAGACACTCCTAGGATATATTGTCTATTTGCTTTGTCACTATTCAAAGTGACCAGGGTTAAAGTTTTTAAAATTAAAATTTGTCAAAGTTCACTGTCAATAAACTGCAGCAAAGGTGGACATCTGAAGGTCACAGAGTCTCGAAAATGCATCAACAAGCTACATCTTAGGCGGTGTTTGGAAATCATTCCACAAAAGGCTGCTTTTCTTTACAGCATGGATACTTTTACATGTTTTTTGGTCAATTTTAGTGTGACTCTCAATTAAGGTGTGGGCTTGGAACAGAGCTGTGTTGCAAGTGGGTGTGGTGTAGAATAAACAATGAGCTCGCTGTTAAATACAGTGGGGGATCTGTCATGCTGTGGGCCTGTTTTTATTTCCGGAGGCATTCCATTCATTGCATTGTCAAATCTTTGAATTCTCAGGACATTTTATTCACAAATCTTGCTACGTCTGACAGAACACTGGACATTAGTCAACAGGATATTGGTTGAAAACACCTAAAAAATCAATACAGAAAATATTCATCTGACCAACATCAGAATGAGATTCCATTGGGATTAGTTATAGAGAAGAGAGCGCATGTGATAAACAAGGACTGAAGAGTTTGTACAAAGCTTAACTCCCACTGGGTGTTTCAACATTAAACAATATAACAGGAGACTGAATGCTCTCCTGCTGGGGATGATTTTTGTTTAATTTATTTTTATTTCATCTATCTAAGTTAGATTTAGAGTAATGTTTAGAAATTTCCAAGACATTTCTTAAGACTAATACATATTACACTGAGGCAAATCATAAATGTCTTTCTTTTGTGCTAATGTTATGGATTAAACAGGGGGGGAAAAAACAACAGAAAATATTCTGAATTAATCCTTTTCCATTTTCAAAAGAAGTAAAAGGAGCACAAAAATCCAAAGAAAACATTTAAAACCTTTAAGAGGAGCTGTGCGATATTAAATATGTGACAATGAGGCCTAAATGTGATCAGTGCTATGGTTTTATGCTTTACATTACTTTAGAAAGTAAAAGACATTTTTTTTTATCTTAGTCAGGCTTGTTTAAAGTCTACCCAAAGCTTGTAGTTCATCTTTTTCCTTTTTAAACTTTAAATATAGTACAGAAAATTGAAAAGAATACAAACAGCTTTTAACTTTGAACCCTCCTCTTTAAATTTATTTGTGTACAGAAAAAAATTTTTTTGACCAGATTGGCAAGTAAGCAGTTGTTTTCATTTTTAAAAAATTAAAAAATATACATATTGTTTAATCAAAAACTTCACTTTTCTACAACATTGAAACAAGACCAGACAAAATTCTTCATTACTATATAAACACACTGAGTGTTGTAACTTATTTGCTGTCAAAGGTCTGAGAAAGCTATTTAGGAAATCTTCAAACAGTTTGGAATTTCTTTAGATAAACTAGAAAAATAGCCATGGAGAGCATTTACTCAATGTTCACTGAATAAAACTTGATGAACATAAATATAGCTCTAACACATGCTTTGTTATTAGCTTTTTACCAATGAATTGTAAAACATCCGTCTTTTCTGTTTCTCATTGAAATATAGAAATGTACAGTTTTTAAAAATAAAGACAATGAAAGACTGGTTTAATTTGATGTTTTAACAATATCTGGAAGGCATTTCCACAATAAAATCACACAAACCGAACATTTTCAGTTCTTTGATTAGTTATCTATTTGTTTCTAATTTACAGCCTTCCTTTTTTACAACAATTACCTAAAAGTTTGAACTCAGGTTAAACACGGATGGTTTTGTGCAGAAGAGAAGCACTTTGATTTTCTATAAATTTTATGTTTTCCTGGTTTACTCAGAAGAGGCTGTATTCTGTCTCCCTGCAGGTCAAGCTGGGAGCTGCCTCAGCTGAGAGAAGGTCTGGTTAGGGCCATCAGCGACTCGGATGGCATCAGCTACCCCTGGTATGGAAACACAACAGAGACCGTCACCATAGTTGGCCCCACCTCTAAGCCGTCGCGCTTCACCGTCAGCATGAACGATAACTTTTACCCGAGCGTCACCTGGGCGGTACCGGTCAGTGAGTCCAACACACCCTTATTGACCAACATCAAGAGGGACCAGAGTTTCACCACCTGGCTGGTGGCATTAAACACCACGTCTAAGGAGAAGATCCTGCTGCACACCATCAAGTGGAGGATGAGGGTGGACATTGTGGTGGATCCATCCCAGCCTCTTGGCTCCAGAGCAAGGCTGGTGGGTCGGTTGTACCAGGAGCAGCCACGAGTTCTGAACCGCATGGAGCCCGTCCCTCCAAACGCCATGGGGAAGCCAAACGCCAACGACGCCCAGGTTCTGATGTGGAGGCCAAGGAGAGGTCCCCCGCTTGTTGTCATCCCGCCGAAATAGAGCAAGGGCTGGTTTCTTACTAATGTTTCTGCTTAAAAGTGACAATGAGCCACAGATGAGTAAGACGATGATGGAGAGGATTTAACTGATGAAGAGTGGACAGCTGCCTTAATTCCCCACCGCTGCCTTTGACCATCCAGAAGGTTTCAGCCTCTGCCTCTGGTGCTGCTGAACTTTGAGGGTATACATATGTTCCCTCCCTCATAGCACATCTGAGAGGAGTGCTGTTTAACTCTGAGAAAACACCATCAGTGCTGGGATGTAACTTTAATCTCTGATGTAGCTCCTCAGGCTCAGGAGGACACGACCAAGCCTTGATCTAGGCAGTTATTTAAAAAAAAAAAAAAAAGGTTTACAGCCTTAAAGCTCCAAATCTATTGTAGATACAGAAATGCATTGGAGGCCAAGGTCTAAGAAAGACAACTGTATTGTGGAAACTAATCATTTTATTTTCAGATGAATGGTATGAATGTAGGTATTCAGGTGCATTAGTCTGTGCTGGTTTGTTTTTATAATGGAGCCCCCAGTGCTGGGTTCAGGCTTGCTGCTGACACACCAGACTGCCTCACACACACAAAAAGCCTCATTCAGATTCATTTTTGATTCAACTTTCAGCATTTAGATCATTTGAAGTGTTGACCTATAACAGTTAAACATTATAGCCACACTGACACATGAATGAAACCTACCTTCCTTTTCTAACAGCTTCCCAGGTATTACAGTGTTTCCCTTTGTAAAGTCAGAGGCCTGCTGGTGTTAGTCTGTGAAGGAGACAAAGTCAATGAGATTTGACCAGCTGTTTTGCTAGAAAACCATCCCTCTAAGCATTTTGCCACAGTATTATCTCATAGACCCACCCCCTCAACTCCATCTTTCAGTGTTACCTACAGCGTTTTAGGGTGTGCTTGAGGGTCGGGGTATCTGATCCATGATGAGATTATTTATATAAAAAAGCCACCTTGACGTGAGAGGAACAACTAACCAGATCTACACCCTTCCAGAGCTGTGATTATCCGATCTTTATGTTTTTTGCGGATCTGGACAAGGTTTGTAATCTCTAGAGGTTCCTTTAGACGAAGGATACTTGAAGATATAGAAGAGAAGATGTGTCATGATTTGGTGCAGGTCTTTCTTTTCTGCAATTGATGTTTTGTTGGTTCACAATCAGGTGTAAAGCAGCAAAGACTCTGAGCCAAACGTGCTGCTCCATCTGCAGTAAGGATGAAAAAAAGAACAAAATCAAAAAGTAACCAGTATACTTCATCAGTGTTCTGACAATCATCCAGGATCATGGAACATACAGATTATGAGCAAAAGAAAAAAAAAATCTGATTTAAGTGGATGAAAGAAGCTTTTTCTGTGAGGTGGATGTGCTCATAGTTAGAGATAAGGTAACATGCTTCATCAGGGTTAGGGATTGGATAAACCCTAAAGTCAGCTGAGGTGGTTTGGCATAGTTTACTAGATTGAAACCTGCAAAATCCCAACACTACCTTCCTATACCAGGGTTTCCATAACAGATAAGTTGCCTCTGAAACCGATCTCTGAAAAACGAAGGATAAAGGATGAAGTGGGGGTTACAGTTCGTCAAGAGCGCACGAAATTCAAACACAGATCTTTGCGTTTTCAAACGAAAATATGTTCTTTCTACACAATTTTGGCCTTAGACAACAAAGTTAAAGTAAACAATATCTCATCTATCTCAGAGGCTAAAACAAATAGTAGCTTCGAGAGATAAAGGTGTCCCTGTTTACAGAACCAAGTGTTCAAAAACATGAGAGAAACAGCAACTGGGGTGTTGAAAGTAAACAGTGTCTGTTTCTTGTGTGAATTAAGGGATTTTATTGATAACTGGTTTGATGCTCTTGTAGTTTTGTTTTGGGCTGTTATCAGCTCTGACATGCAGGCGGGTCTGTTTAACATCTAGATTATTTTACCGCAGACATTACCTGCTGTAAAACATTTGGACCAGGGATCAGTATTATCAGTAAAGTTTGCACCAGTACATGCATTTATCAGTCAGTATTAATGGTGCCTTTGCTGATTTGGAAGCTGCAGGGGTCATACGTTTACTCACCTCTTGATATTCTTGGTGGATTTGCTCTGTGTTCCTGGGTGGTCAGGTTAAAGGTTTGTGCTTTTTCTTAAATGTTGGAGTAAAGCTTTTAATAATCCAACCCCTGAACAATTAACCTCTGACCCCTTTTTCTGGGTTATTGCTGTTGTTTTTTTCCCCTACAATTTAAAAGTTTTGATGGGCTGTGATGACTTTTTTCAGTCGTAACAGATTTTGGAAGTGTCTTTGTGGTGAAGCCAGCGTTGTTTTACACAATTGTGTTTTTCACGCAGTATTGTCAAGACTTTGATACCGTTTTATAACCCTCCTCTGTTTGAGCAGAAATATTTCAAGAGTTTCTGATTCTTTTATGGAAATTGAGAAAGAAGAATAAAAAAACAACAACAACATTTTGGGAAAAAGTCCAAACAAAATCAAGTCCTTGAAGATTTTCCACAAAACATCTTATCCTTAATTCTATAACTTTCTCCCTTTTGTATAAGTTAGCCATTTTAATACATTTTTCATGCTGTGTCCCTTGTCAGCCAAAAAAATATCTTGGGTAGTTATTTTGCTGACATTAAATTCAAAACAATCAAATCTTAAAAGTCAAAGCTTCCTAATTTTATGCCTATTTCATGCTAACGGCACATCAAATGTGTATTGATAGCTCTTAAACCTTTTATCCATATATTAACAATGGCCAGCAGGATAAGGTTTTAAAAATTTGCACACATATATTTTCCCAACAACAAAAACAAAAAATACTTTGTTGCTTTAAAAAAACTGTTGGATTTTACTTAGTAAGCTGCTGTCAAAATTATAAACTTCTCAAATATGATAAAGGAATCTAAACACTGCAGCTTGGTTCAACAAGTTAATGAAGATAAAATCAGTTACAAAATGTCCTGTCTAGTTAATCGAATTCTATGGAAGAGGATTAGGGCCACTGAAAAAAAAAAATTAACTGATTTTTACATTTTATTTCAGTTTAACATAGGAAAAAAGTCAGAATTCTTCGTCAGACTTTTTTCTCAGAATTCTGACTTTTATCTCAGAACTCTGACTTTTTTATTGTCAGAATTCAGTCAGAGTTGTGAGAAAAAAGTCAGAATTATGTTAAACTGAAATAAAATTAAAAAATCAGTTAATTTTTTTTTTTTTTCCATTGGCCCTAATCCTCTTCCGTACAATTCACTATGATGCCTTGTGAAATATTCATACCTGTTGATTTGTTCTGGGTTTCTCTTTTATTCTGTGGTTTCTAACCTACAGTTATTGAGATTTTATTTACAGACCAACACAAAGAGGTGCATAGTGTTAAAGTGAAATGAAACAAGCATATCAGTTGAAAATCTGAAAACATGCATTTGTCTGTCTGGTTTTACTAAACTTATCATGTATTTTTCATTGCGTGGACTGTGATTCATTTACAGCGATTCTGAAAATCCTCAGCAAGGTTCAATACAGTTTTATCCAAGTTATATTGTTTTCCCAGCTCAAAACTTCTACAATTAAAAGGCCTATGTTCATTTGGACCATATTGCTGCAGGTACAGCAGTCGGTGTATTGGAGCAGGTATTTTCTACCCTAACCCAGAGAGGAAATGTTTTCCCTTTTCTTTTTTTGCTTTATGCTTTGATTTGAACCTCCCTACATTGTCCTCCCCGCTCTAGAGCCTTTAACGCCATTTTTTTCCGTAGAGATGCTTTTTTTCAATCTGATGTGCAGAGGGTTAGTTCTCTGCCACTTATCTTCTATGTAATCAGAGCACCATTTCTCACATCATCTGCACCACTGGCTTGTCTGTTGTATCTCTTGGTCATCATGAAGTTTTTCTCTAAAATAACCTTTAACGATTTCACACAAAAAAAGCTGCATTTATAATTTATACACAGAGTAACCACCTTTATCAATCAGATGATCCATTAAGGTCTCTGTATTTTTTTTTTATGCATCATAGTAAAGGGAGCTGAATTTAAATGCCTGTCACATTTGTTACATTTTTTAGTTGTAAAAATATTCTGTACTTTGTGTTGGTCGGTCATGAAAAACCCAAATGAAAACACACTGATGTTGTGGTAATGTAATGTGACAAAATGCAAAAAAAGTTGAAGGTGTAGGGATTTACTTTTCACAAGTGTTGTATCTTTAGGCCCTCTGCATATCTGTAACAAATTGAAATAGTGGTTGAGATGTTTGCTGAAAAACAAATGGATAAACGCAAAAATCTGTCCCAATGTTGGGCGTCTCTTCTGGTATCATTTCCTTTTCGTTCTAAGCCTCATCAACACTAAACCATGATAGGTCAGAGTGAAAAGTCCAGCCGATGATGTTCCCACATTGTTCTTTCAATGCTACTTGTTAATCATGGTGCCAGCCGTACAAGCCTTCACACACAGACCCACACACACCTGGTCAGAGAGACGGATGGACCGCCGGATGCTTTCTGCTTGAGAAAACCAACATGCCAATCAGGAGCCGCTTGGCGAAAATGAATCTGTGGATCAAACTTCTGAACTCCTGCTGATAATCACAAAAAACCCTACAGAGCAGAAGAATTCAATATTATTCAACAAATCGTGGCTTTTATAGTGTAATAAAGGTGAAAACTGGAATGTTTGAATGAAGAAAAATAAATGAAAATATATTTATATCTGATCACTTCTGCTGCCTGTGTGTAAGACGGTCTTTCTCAGTGACGGCTGTGGATGAGTTTGTCTTTACAGAGAGTGAAAATTTGAAAGAAAAAGTTGTTTTAAAAATCCAGTGATGTCAACTAACTGGTTCTGGGCTTGACATAAGGGAGCGCAAAATAGGGAGATATCAGAAACAATTAGCACTGAAGGATGGGAGGGAAGGAAAAAAGAAAAGCATGAAAGACAGACTGAAGGACAAATGGAAAGAAAAAATAGAAAGCAGGATTTCTAGTGATTATAAAAAAAAAAAGCATGTTATTCCATTTGGATGGTGTTTATTTATTCCATAAACATTTCTATAATTCCCCATGTATTATAAAACAAATTTCAGTCTTTCACACAATAAAAACAACCACTCCAGTAAAACCAGCATTTAACATTTCTCCAAATGAACCATGAAAATGTAAAAAATGGATGGCAGCGGATGAAAGGAAATAATAATAATAAAAAAATATATATAAGACAGGAAAATCTGGTTGGAAAAGTGAACTAATGAGAGGAAGTTTGTTTGTTTTGGCTGCTTCCATTTCCAGGGATTGCCGCAGCAAATCATTATGACGTTCTCACAGACTTGGCAGCGTTTTCATGCAGGGTACCTTTCCAGGATTCACATTGGGTCTTCATCATTACTTCATGATGGGTGAACTGATGAAAGAAAAGTGTAAGGATAGAGGGAACGAAATACAGGTGAGGATAGAGGAAGAAAAGAGGAAAAGGTTGCAAAAAACAAAAGGAAAGATGAAACGTAACTTTAAGGAAAAAAGACAAGTTGAAAAAGAGGAAAGAAAGGAAACAATACAATACAGAAAAAGAACATAAGGATTGAAAAGAATAAAAGAAAATAGAAAGTAAAAATAAGGGAAATTAATGGTGGAATGAAATTAACACAATAAAGCAGGAAGGGAAGAAGGAAAAAAATATTTATCTAAAACAGGTAATAGAGTAAGGACATTTTCTATTTCATACCGATATATGCAAAAACCTGAAAAAAAGATCCATGAATCAAACTCCATACATCAGAACTCTGCTGGAAAAGGTAAACATTATGGAGACCAATAAAACATTCTTCTTGCAGAACTTTTAGCCTTTTCTTCCATTTCCTCCTCAGCTCAAGCACAATCTGTTTAACCCTATAATATAAAGACAGTAAAAAAGCACCAGTCCTTTACCAGTTTAATGTGCTTTAATACATTCCAGTCTAAACATAGCTGTAAATGTGTTGCCCGGGAGAAAAATTCAAACAGAAGTCATACTTATAAGTTAGACCCTGTCATAAAAGCAAATAATTAAAATAAAATGAATAATTATACCCGCTTCATCTCAAAGTAGCTCCGGAAACAAGCAAAACATCAATGAAAAGTTTTGAATCATAAAATTCCCTTCATAGATTCTGTCTGATTGTTTGGTCACAGAGTAAACAGGATATATGGCCAAAAAAATAAGAGCTTACCACCATCATCATCATCATCATCATCCTCCTCCTCCTCCCCCCAAAGGAACCAAGTAACCTAGGGTTAGGATTGTCTGTTCAAGACTATAGGTTCAATAATTAACTAAAATCCCCAGTTTTTAACTTTTTGTGTGTTACAGAAACTGTTGGATTCACTCAATGATCAAATATTTGATTCCAAACAAATGAAAAGTTTTAGCTGGGGAGTCTGTCCTGTCACAGTATGGAGAGAAAAAGAAAGCCATAATTTAAACTAAAAAACAAGTTATGGCCTCCATACCCATATGTGTGTATAAAGCACCCTTCAGCCCAACTGGTACCTCTGGTAAAGATATGTAAAAAGCCTTTGCTGCACCTGAGAAAATCTGTGTTTACTTCTCAACTCGCCAAACAAGTTGGCTAAAAGGGAAGATGGTTTGTGGACATAAAGAAATGTGGATTTTCCTGCTGTGTTAATCTCAGCAGATGGTTTACATCACTATCGTGCTTATAACTATGATGTTTACCCATTTTTTACCTCCCTTTTCATCGTTGTTGCTAAGCATCTGGAAAAAGTAAACAAAGACACCAGCTCAGATTGATTTAAACTTTCCTAATTAGTGTTGTCAAGAAGTTGTTTCCTTTGAACATTTTAGGAAAAAGTTCATAAAAGACATCTGTCTTCTATGAACATGAAGTTTTCCAGTGTTTTCCACGTTGAAAAGTGGCTTAAAAAAGG